GACTGAGTTATAACTCACCAACGCATAGAAGATTCTAAACTTTAAATCTTTTATTTTCAAATATACATATATTTGCATTAATAAATTCCAAGTGGATTGATATCAATAGCCGACCATCCTCGATTTTGTATGGAAAACAGTAGGCATTGAATAGAAGTGGTAAACCACGTTTGCACAAATGATTTCGTATTAAAATTGAGTTCTCCACAAACTGCGGATCGAGCCATTTTGCAGAGCTTGATTCTCGTACGAGTTAGGGTAAGGCCTCATACTCGCTGTTAACGAATTCCACGAGCCAGACGAGCAACTCTTGCCACCGACAAACTCTCCCACTCGCGGCTAAAGTCGGAATGACCCGCCATCCTGATGAATGATGAATGGGTAAGCCGAAATTGCTTCCACCCCGTCGATTACTACCATTCATCTGCTGATTGCGTGCAGCTTGCAGGTATTCGGCGGGGAGAGAGAGGCAGAGGCAGCACTGACGAGAAACAAAGAAGAAGAGGAAGAAGAAGAAGAAGAAGAAATCTCATTCCTATTAATTAACCTGTGTGAAGAATGGAAAGCCATTCCAATTGCGTTTTGAGTCTTTCGCTGCGCCTTGGTCATTTTTACGCTGTTTCCACCGTTCCAAGGTTTCCACCGAGGCCTGCTTTTCCCGGGTCGAGATCACGTAGTTGAACCTCTTCAAGCTGACCGCCGGTCAGCAACTAAGTTGCAGAACTTGTTCCTTCGAAAGCAAAAGTCAACTTCTTGCTGCTTCCTTGCCAGTCAAAGATACGAACCATGCGGAGGGACACGTTATCTTGCTTAGCAATCAAGAATCTACGGCATAGTTCACTAGCCGTTGAACCGCTGCCAAGAGAGGAAGAGAAAGTACAAAGTATACAATAATAATACCAATTGATGGCCGCGCGCCTGATGGCGGCCTGCGAGCGGCGAAACAAACCAAAGGATAATCCGATCTCTCGGCGACCAACATGGTCCTTAGAAACCCTATCTGATTGTTGACAAAAAAAACCCGTGGGATTTGGGGTAAACGCCCTAGGGCAGTTTACCACGCTAGGGCTAGCTGGTAGTTAACTAGTGAGCTCGAGGGGACAAACATCTCTGTAGCTAACTAGTTAATGTGAATGATATCTCTAAACTTTATAATTCATTAAATTTTAATAACTAGTACTAGTAGAGATGGTAAAAATGGTAATGAGAGGAAATAGATCATTAATCTCATTGATCACATTGATATGCTTGCACATTGGAATATTTGATTTTCTTTCAGTGATCAGCGGAATTACTAGCCATTTTGTATACAGGAATTGACGATAATGAATCGATCCCGCAATAATATCTTCTTTAATGAGAGGTCCTTTTGATGGTAGATTTGGTAAGGCACTCTCATATCTCCAGGCCCCAGACCTGGTTGACAATTTGCCATCCTCAACCCGCTACCTAACTTTCACCGGGTTCACAGACACTGGCTGGTTCCACGAGGGAGGAGGTACAATCTGACACCCAGACCGCTTCATTCTCCATTTTGAAAGACTTCTCCTGCATAAATACGGAGAACATTAACAAATCGTCTCATACATGCTTATATTCTCCAACACCGTAGAAACCTGCTTCACCAAATCCACATTGCGAACGAATCAATGCCTATTAGCCCAATATAAAAACACAACCAATTTATGTGGCCTGTTTCATCACGTATATCCAAAAAGCAATTGTGTTGTTCCCTCTGTGAGCAACTTTTTTGCAGCTTGCAAATCATCTCACCAACCTCTAGCTCGCTCCTATGACCGTTGATATAAGTGACGCAGAAGTCATCACTCCTAATCTTCAACCAGACATTACTTCCTTCCAGGCTAGCAGTGTAATGGATATCTCACCAAGCTGTTGCTTTGAGAGATCTGAAAGCGTCATGGAAAACAGAACTAAAACAGAACTGCAACAGAGAGAGATCGCAGGGAATATTACCAGGTTTTCTCCCGTGTTAATTTTATAGGAAGCGGAAGAAATGCTCCGTATGGTTACGCCTTGACAGATACAAAATCGGTACTAGTACCTATTAAACAACTTGATTGAAATGGGAGACGCCGGCTTGCCCAGCTTACAGCATGGACAATGAGAGGTCCTGGACAGATGGCTGTCCTTCCAGGACTGTGGTATCTTGGAATGCTGTGCGCAGCGGATAATGATCGGCGGCTTCCATGGTGTCCATTTAGTATTTGGCAGTAAGTCAATCTTTTCGATTTTTTGTCCTGTGGATCTTGTCAGCTTCAACAAAATTTCAAGCCATCAACAAATTACTAAGGGAAACAAACGAGCATCACCCCAAAGCTTTCGAGATATTAATAACTGGTCTCAAGCTCAATCCGGCCCCATTCACTCAACCCAATGTAGGCTTGGCTAGGATAAATAATTGCAACATCAAAAGCTACCCAAATAACCCCTTCAGAATTACCTGGAACAATCAAATATTCTTTGATCAGGATTGCTATGCTCAATTAAAGCTGGATGAATACTATGCGGAATAACCAATGTTGTTTTTCCAATGCTCTCATCGTTGCTGAGAAAATGGAGGTCATGCTACAAGGCATCCATCCAGATGAGGTTTCTAGCAAGTTGGATCAGATCGACTGCGCAAAGAAGCACAAACATACAGTATGTAGTTGAATTTTTGATCTTATCTTATCTCTAGAGCAAACATCCTGTGACAACGTGCCCCTGGTCCGTGCTTCAAGGCTCCATTCCCGTCAACGCAGCTGCTTGTATACACACACACCCACACCCACACACACATATACATATATATATATATATAAACACCTCTAAGAGCTTCTTTTAACACCTTTGATTGCAAATCCGTGAGAGGATCTTGAATATCTCGCATTTTGTTTTTCATTGTTCGCCAACTTTTCGTATTCAGGCTCACAAAGTCCATCAATAATGGGGAGCAAACCTGGAAATTCGCCACTACCATCCCAAGCCCCGAACGCACCTCGCAGGTCCGCTAGAAAACGTGTCTTTGACAAGACCCAACACGATAGCTATGACGCTACTTTTTCCACCGCCCGGTCCCGCCGAAGGATGCAGGTTCAAATGGCTATTGCAAGCGGCGATGCGCCAGTTATCGACCTGACAGGTCAAGCCAACCCCCCTACGGCTCAAGCTTCTCCGCGTAAACGGAGGAAGAGAGCGGCTTCCCCTTCTGTTGAGAAAGAGGAACGCAGACGACGCGTATTCCGAAAGCATCCACCTCAGTCCTATTTACAGAAGTTGGACAGAGCAAGGACGCAAAGGCACGGCTCCCCTCGCTGATAAATAGACATCGTTTCCCGAATTCTGACGCCCTTTTATCTACTCAGGCTTTTTGTTGTTGACCGCAAGAGGGATGGCACGGAAGATGTGCCAATGGAGAAGGTGCAGATTGTCGGGACTACTGGGAATTTATATGAGGTCGTGATTGGGCTTGTTCCTCGGTGTACTTGTCCTGATTCCCAAAAGGGAAATCAATGCAAGCATATCATTTATGTCAGTTCCAAATTCAAAGCTTTTCGAAATCGAGAAAACGGAGAGAAATTTCTAATATGACATTGACAGGTCCTCCACAATGTGCTCAAAGTAACTGGGCATCTTGAGTACCAGTTGGCCTTCCTGTCGTCCGTAAGCGTTCACGGGAAAACAAATTGTCAGTCGAATTTAGATAATAATGATTAATAACTAGGAACTTCGTGAGATTTTCGCGAACGCTCCGATAAACACCCATGACGACGCGACGAAGGAAAATGAGTCTGGGAAAAGAAGGCCCATCGAGGGCGACTGCCCAATATGTTTTATGGAATTTGAGCCCGAGACAGAGGAAATCGTCTGGTGTAAAGCTGCCTGCGGAAATAATATTCACAAAGCTTGTTTCGGGCGGTGGGCGGCAACCCAGCAAAGTAATGGAGTCCGTTGCGTTATTTGGTATGTGCTGCCTTTCTACATAAATTAGAGGTGATGTTAAGTTGAACGACTGGGACTGATGCGTTTTGCTCTTTGCTTGTAGTCGCTCCGCGTGGGAAGTAGATGCTCCCATGCAACAGCTTTTGGCCAACGGCATAGTTAATGACGAGGGGTATGTAAATGTTGCTGCCCAGCTTGGATTGTCTGGTGAACGAGGTATGGATTCTATATCACTTTCTTGTGTCATTTTTTGCCATTGGTATCATTCTGCATACCCCTTGCTCCACAAGTTTTTGGGGATACCAGTAATAACCAGTTTATATACTATTTAGACCATTCGACCTATCACCAGCCATGGTCTCGTGGACGGTACTCTCGGTACTACCGTTAACTGAACGACAGATCTAAGCCGATATATTCTACCAACCCCTAATAACGAAAATATGTCAATACTTGTATCTTCGGACATATTGCCAGGAATATGTTGAGCTTAATCCAGTCAACTCAAGTCCTTGACTTTCTCTTTCCCGTATCACAATGCAATTCCCGTGCCAAGGATGAAGCATTTACCACATAGTACTATTTTCAACTGATAATCCGGGGGGATTCTTACATTCCACCACTTGAGATCAGGCTTTGTTTAGAGTGGAATCATCCCGAGAACAGGTCGGGAACGTTGTTTTCCAGCCAGCTAGTCACCAACCAATGCTCATCAGAGCAATGCGCGAGCACCCAAGACCCATTTTCAGCTAAGGCCGTCGAGCGGGCTTGGTGTTCCCTATTTCGCAGGTCTGCCATCCCCGTTGTCCTGGTAATAAAACACCTCCTTGAATCACCCAGCGAGCTGTACATGTATTTTCCACCGTCATTTACGATGTATATAGTATAAAGCAGTGAGTGAAAAAGGGTAATCTCCAGAATCGGCAGGGTAATTGCGTACCTCTATAATACAGCAGATGGATAGATAGACAAACCCTGGACAAATCCATGTGTGAATCAATGCACAGCGTATTAAAGAAAACCAAGAAGAAGAAGAAGAAAAACCAAAGAAAGATCCTTCCACAAATAATTGTAGGACTTCCCAGTTCTCAACTTTTCATTCTTTCATTCTTCAATCTCAACGTCTGTGTGTAGATATTTATTTGCGCACACGCATAAATATAGATATAGATATAGGTAAGGGGCATGACGTCTCCAAATCACCTACAGGGGCCTTCAGTGCAAATGCCTTGCGATTAAAACATAGTGGACGCCAGAACAATCCCAAGACACCAAAAGGTGAAATACACCAATAAAATATAATAAAGAACGAAAAACGAAAAAGGGGAAAGAAGGGATAAAAAAAAGTCGTTGGAGTGGAAGAAGATGAAGAAGATAAAGCACATAGCTAGCTCTCTCCCCCTCCCATCGCTTAAAATATGACAACATATATATAACAAACCATCCTTGAGCCCGCCCGAACCCTGAACCCCGAAACCCCTTCCCTACCAAGCAAATC